TTATTGGTTGAGGCATTCAACAGTAATGATGAATTTGGAGGCAGCAGAGGCGCTTATGACGTCATGATAGCAGGTCGATTGAAGGCAATTGAAGCAGAATAAAGAAAGAAAGGATAACAATAGATAGATAGATAGATAGATAGATAGATAAGAAACTAGGAAAGATAGATAGATAATAAGAAGGAAAAAACGAAAGAATTAAATAACGAAATCAAAAGACAGAATGAATAAAGCAAACGTAAAAGAGGATACACACACAAACATACATACATACACACAAGCACACACAAGCACACACACACACACACATATATATATATATATATATATATATATATATATATATATATATATATATATATATATATATAGATGAGATAGATAGAAGCCACGAAAGAAAGAAGTATTAAAATATAAGTTGTCCGAAAGAAGGAATCATATATATATATATATATATATATATATATAGAGAGAGAGAGAGAGAGAGAGAGAGAGATAGAAAAAAGAAAATTGGCAAACAGAAGCCACGAAAGAATGAATAAGATAGATAGATATATAGATAGATAGATAAGAAAGAAAGAAATAGTGAAAGATAAAAGAAATTAAAACATAGAAGAGGATAGATAGATAGATAGATAGATAGATAGATAGATAGATAGATAGATAGATAGAAGCCACGAAAGAAAGAAAGAACTAAAGATATTTAAAAAAGAAAGAAAAGAAATGAAATGTTAGGTTGACCAAAAATAAAGAATCCCTGAAACAAAGAAAAATAGGGAAAGATACATCGAAGCAACGGTAGAAAGAAACTAAAAAAACAAACAAAGACAGGCAGGAAAAAGCGATACAGACTGTCATTGTTGGGATAAAATCTTAAAATAAGAGAAGAAAACGGGAATGAATGAATGAATGAAAGTAACGGGAAAAGAAAAAAAAATGTGAATCAGTGAAAGAAGAAAAAATACATTTAACTTTGATAACTGATAACTAAACAGACGGTGAGCAGTTAAATGCTCCAATGTAAAAATTAAAAAGAAATTCCTTTTCCTCATCAAGATTTATAATGAAAGTCAAGTCCCCAGATGAGATTTATCGAAAGCAAAAATAAAAAAAACGATGTTGTCCCAGAAAGAAAAAACAGTAGGGAATAAACAAATAGCTACTATCGTACTACTTTATCGTACCTCAAAAATTAAATTACTGTCTTTTAAAAGCATAAAGGTTGTTTAAACGTACAAAAGATGTTAGAAATTTTAAAAAAAGATGCTTAAAAGTGCAAAAAGATATTAGAAAGCTAAAAAAGATGCTTAAATGTGCAAAAGATGTTAGAAATATAAAAAAAAAAAAAGATGCTTAAACCCGGAAAAGATGTTAGAAATCTAAAAAGATGCTTAAATGTGCAAAAGATGTTAGAAATCTAAAAAAAAAAGATGCTTAAATGTGCAAAAGATGTTAGAAATCTAAAAAGATGCTTAAATGTGCAAAAGATGTTAGAAATCTAAAAAAGATGCTTAAACACGGAAAAGATGTTAGAAATCTAAAAAGATGCTTAAATGTGCAAAAGATGTTAGAAATCTAAAAAAGAAGCTTAAATGTGCAAAAGATGTTAGAAATCTAAAAAAAAATATGCTTAAACCCGGAAAAGATGTTAGAAATCTAAAAAGATGCTTAAATGTGCAAAAGATGTTAGAAATCTAAAAAAGAAGCTTAAATGAGCAAAAGATGTTAGAAAGCTAAAAAAGATGCTTAAACCTGGAAAAGATGTTAGAAACCTAAAAAAGATGCTTAAATGAGCAAAAGATGTTAGAAATCTAAAAAGATGCTTAAACATGGAAAAGATCTTAGAAATCTGAAAAGATGCTTAAATGTGCAAAAGATGTTAGAAATCTAAAAAAGATGCTTAAATGAGCAAAAGATGTTAGAAATCTAAAAAGATGCTTAAACCTGGAAAAGATGTTAGAAACCTAAAAGTATGCTTAAATGTACAAAAGATGTTAGAAATCTAAAAAAGATGCTTAAATGAAGAAAAGATGTTAAAAATATAAAATTGTTCGAAGCTGAGGCGGTAAAAATTCTAAAAATTCAAAATAAAATTATGAAAAAATGGAAAAGATAATTAAGGTACAAACGGTTTTGATTTTTATATTAGAAACAAAAAAAATAAACGGAAAGAAAACATAAATAGCTAAAACATGAATACGCTGGTGTTGCCTTTCTTATCGCAGCTTGTTTTGGGGCAAAAGATCCTTGAAAGTGTTATAATGCAAACATTCCTGTAGCTAGGTTTTGTATCTCTGCATACGGCAGCATAATGAAAATGGCGTCGACGGCATTCGCGCTCTTTTGAAAAGCTGAGTCAATGAAACTTTTTTTTTTATTCATGGCGATTTTCTTTTTGATTTTTTAAGGCACTTAAATGGCATTGCTACAAAAACATCACTTCCAAACTCACTTCTAACATCAGAAGCCACTTCCGTTATGGTGGTCAAAATAAAATCATGGCGCAACTCTGGAATTACTTGTTAACTTAAAATCTATTTATAACAAAGACGAAAACAACAGTGAAAAAAGAAAGAACTAATTCGGAATACAGGTAGAAAATTATAGAAGAGTAAAATGTCCCACTTACGAATAAATGAGAAATTAAAATAAATTCTATTTTAGTCCTTTCAAAATAATAATAATAATAATAATAATAATGAAATCTCAAAAATGTGGCCCATGAGAGCATCAACAATCCCTGTTGTAGTTGCAGCTCTCGGATTGGTTGGAAAAAATTCCAGTAGACAAATTGAAGGGATTCCTGTAAGTCCATGCCTCAAAGAGATACAAACAATTGTTCTCGCAAGTACAGCCCACACTTTACGAAGGACTATGTAATTTTTTTTTTTTGCAGTGGAAAGTGTCACGATACCATATTTAACCTTAGGTTCCTGGGTGGGATCCGGAAAGAAATGTGTAAACGCCAGATATCAAAGGAAATAATAATAATAATAATAATAATAATAACAACAACTTTAGAAATCTCAAAAATGTGGCATATGGGAACATCAACAATCCCTGTTGTAGTTGGAGCCCTAGGACTAGTTGGAAAAGATTCCAGTAGACTAATTGAAGGGACTCCTGGAAGTCCATGCCTCAAAAAGATACAAAAATTGTTCTCGCAATTACAGCTCACACTTTACGAAGGGCTTTATCTATGTAATGTGATTTTGTCAGTGGAAAGTGTGATGATGTCATTTCTAACCTTAGGTCCCTGGGCGGGACCCGGAAAGAAATGTGTAAACGCCAGAAATCAAAGGAAATAAAAATAATAATAACAGACTCTATCAAAGCTTGTAAATAATCCCAGTGGAATCCCAGAATGGATCACTGAAGGTATTACATATCTCATGCCAAAAACGAGTGAAACAGATGATCCGAAAAATTATAGGCCAATAATATGTCACTTCACCATGTATAAGTTGGTCCCGTCTGTCCTGACGAACCGTACTTACTTTTTTTTCGAAGGAAACAGCATTCTTCCACTGGGAGAGAAGGAATGCAGGACAAGTTCATATAGTTGCAAAGATCAACTACTGATAAATAAAATGATCCTGGAAAATTGCAGACGTTGTAGAAATCTGCGCGCAGCGTGGATTGATTATCATAAAGCCTCTGACAGTGGATCCTTACAACTTTGGAAATATGCGAAGTCGCCTCTGTGGTAGTAAATTTTCTTAAGCACAGAATGGGAATGTGAAACACCACACTATACCTAAATCACACCAGAAGCACTACCATTTCCAACCATCTAAATATTCGGCGTGGAATCTTTCATGGAGAGTCCCTGACACTCCTTCTGTTTTGTTTGTTCTTAATCCCCCTTACGCGTGAACTAAACAATAGTAGCTATGGTTACAAACTTACTCTACATGGGTGATCTCAAACTCTTTGCCAAAGACGACAATGTGTTGAAGGGTCCCGTGAATATTATAAAATATTTTAGTGATGACATAGGTAGGGATTTCAGATTAGATAAATGTGAAAAAGTAACATTCAAGAAAGGGAAAATTACAGAAACACCCTGAATAGATTTAGACTTTGTCACAAAGATTAGGGAACTGGAACAAGATGAAGCCTATAGGTACCTAGGAATTAGCGAAGGAGATGGTATACAACATACCCAAATGAAGGAGGAGGTAAGAAAGGAGTACTACAGGCACGTACCTCTGGAAATGAATACAGAGCTGAATTTAAAAAAAAACGAATATCAACCATAAACACCTTGGTTGTCCCTGTGTTCCAATATAGTTTCAACATCATTAACTGGACCATAACTAACATTAAAAAAAATACTTAAAAAAGAAAGCAAAAAACAAATGCAACCGACCAGATACAGAAACCAGAAACAATGGCAAGATAAACCGCTTCATGGCCAATACTCTGCCCGTACCAAACAAGGTGACGTAGACAAAACCCGTACTTATCCGGGGCTTCGTAGTGCAGGGTTAAAAGCTGAAACCGAAGGTTTTTTCCTTGCTGCATATGATCAATGCTTGTTAACTAGAAATTATCAAGCACACGTAGTAAATGTGTTAGCCCAAAATGCAGTTTACATGATAAATATCCAGAAACAATTGATCATCTTGTATCAGGTTGCACGATATTGGCACCCACTGAGTATAAAACCCGGCATGACAGACTGGGCCAATATCTGCACTGGAAAATCAGCAACTTCTACCGAAAGGAAATTTAAAGAAATTGGTATGAACACCACCCAGACCCGTTTACGGAGATAGGACCTGTTACAATTTCATGGGACTACACACGTGTACACATCAGACATTAAAGGAAATAATAATAATATCTATATATAATAATGAATCTGTAACAATTTTATGGGACTTTACAATACACGCAGACTGAACAATCAAAGCTAATCACCCTGACATCGTGATTAGAGACTTCAAAGACAAAACGTTGTCTCCTTATTGACATGACAGTCTCTGCAGAAGCCGATGTATCTTTAAAGATCTTCAAAAATATCAAAATACAAAGATCTTGAAATCGAAATCTCAAAAATGTGGCACCTGGGGACATTAATAATTCCAGTTGTAGTTGGAGCTCTCAGATTGACTGGAAAAGATTCCAATAGACTCATTAAAGGGATTCCTCGTAGCCCATGAAAAGAAATACAAAAAATTGTACACACAAGTAGAGCCCGCACATTGCCAAGGGATTTATCTATATAAAATATGTGTGATTTTTTTTTCAAAACTGGTCAAAGAACACCATGATGCCATTTCTAACCTTAAGTCTCTGATCGGGCCCCGAAAAGAAATGATTATACACCAGAAACCAACAATAATAATAATAATAATAATAATAAAAATCACCTATTCTCCATGGATGATATAAAACTCTTTGCTAAAGACGACAATATGTTGAAGGATCTAGTCAATACTGTAGAATATTTCAGTTTGTAAATTACTACAGTTTGTAACACGTTTATTTATCATCTCTAAGTTTCGTCTCTGTCGAAGGACAGAGTCGCAACTGAGGAAAATCACACCGAGAGGAGACCTGGCCCTGGGGAACAGCTGCCCAAGCCGCGTCCTCTCATTGCACCAGAGAAAGGGATCGGTTCTCGTACCGAGGCCAGCACAACCAACGGTGACGGGGGCTCGGTGAATTTTGTTCCTAGCACGGGCGTGCGCGCTCGGGCTCCCTACATTAAACCGACCTTGTGTCACAGCGCGACTTCGTAGTGTTTGTGGGTGGTGGGGGCTAGGTCGAGTAAATGCCAAATATTTCAGTGATGGCACCGGTATGGATTTCGGATTATGTAAATGTGCAAATGTAACATTCAAGAAAAGGAGAATTACAGAAACATAATCAATGGCTCTAGATTTTTCCCAAAAGTTTAAAGAACTGGAATAAGGAGAAGTCTATAGATAAGAGCCAGCGAAGGAGATGAAAAAAGAAAGAAAGAGAGAAAGTAAGAAAGAAAGAAAGAAAGAAAAGGCTATGAGAAAGAGAGAAAAGAAGAAAGAAAGTAAAACGAAATAAAGAAAAAGAGAAAAAGAGAAAAATTGAGAGACGAAATGGAAGTATAAAAAATGAAGGGATATCACTCTCAACGAATAAATCTACACAGTAATTAAGAAAGAAACAATCAGCATTGAAAACTAATCTTGAAAATGTAAGAATCAATTTTCCCTCACCAAATATGGATAAAAAGTGACGTAGGCAAGGCTCCCTAGCCTTGGATGGCAACCTGTCTAGGAGAAGAACGACTCTGAAGTTTTTTTTAAGGACTAGTCACGCCACCCTATAAAAATCATCTTTAATAGTAGTAACTCTTCTGCATGATCATGCATTGGTACTAATCTCAATTGGCAGTCTAAGCGACATACATGCGTAAAAGCCAGCGCACAAAGTATAGATGAAGAAATTTCTCTCTAGATATTTCAGTAACAGCTGAAAGAAAAAAAGTATTCTGTCTTCTTAAAAGCAAAATAAAAAAAAATATAAATTTACATTAATTACTGTCTAATTCATAGTTAGAATAAAAATTTAAAAAAAAGATTTAATATTTTTTTCAAAGTTCATACAAAATTTTTATTTTATATGTTTGTTTTTGAGAACATTCGAATGTTTCTGCATTCGTTTCCAAGGATTATTCTATGCATATTTAAATAACTGTTTGTTTTTTTTTTGCTTTTTTTTAATTATTAAATATAGAGAAATTTATTAATAAATATAAAAAGTATAAAATGTTTGAAAAAAGTAACTGTATAAAAAGTTTGAACAAAGTAACTGTATAAAAAGTTTGACCAAAGTAACTGTATAAAAAGTTTGAACAAAGTAACTATAAACAATTTTTTGTTGCTATCCTGTTCCAGCCGCAACGATGGAGAAAGCATTACCTCGAACCATCGCCAGTGAGACACGCTTGCAAGAGCCATTCCGTTTCGCGAGGCTCGTCCTTTAATCGAGACAGATCGCGCCAATCCTCCGAAGGAACGCCATCGAACGAGGGCCAATAACCCCAGAAGTCTCCACTGCCACAGCGGTAAAAAAAAAATCTATCAGCAATTGATAAATATTTAACTATGTTTTTTTAATCTTTGCGACCCCGGCATAACCGCGGACCTGATCAAATTACCGGCCGAAAATATATCCGCACAGGTCGCATCCCAAATCAATGACTTTCCCATTTTAAAAAGGGGAAATTGTAATGCCATCAGGCGGCTTTCCATCACCGCGGTCGAGGCCTACAGCTTCGATCTGGGAAGGGAACCCAGCTGTATCCAAACCTCTTCTGATGATGTCGTTTATTGCTGCATGCAGTGGAAAGCAACCGGCACTACTACATTAATGTTGTTTCTGAAGAATTAATATTGTTATTTCTATCTGCCTCTTGACATTTGTGGCTATCTGATCCAGGATCAAGATAAGGAAATTAATAATGATTTCTAAATGATCCAGCCGTTTTCAGAACAATAATTAATTTTATATTATTATCACTATAAAGACAAATCAGAATACCTCACCGCATCTTTTATACGTAAAACTATTCTTTATTTGCTTCTATACTTTTTATTTTCTGTTAATATAACCTTGAAAGGCAGTGTATTTACAAGGTAACCTTGCGGGCATGTTGTAGTTAGTCTACAAAAAAAAACGTTTTTGAAGCCTCTGTATAGCGTCTCAGGCATCTAATATGATTTAATGTACAATAGACTTGCAGAGAATGATATTAAGAATACCGTGGACCGAACATGGCAACAACCACGAAATTTCACGGAAACTGGAAACAAAATGAGACTTATACTTTACATCAGGTAGAGGGAGCTGAAACTTATAGGGCACATAATGAAGAAAGAAGGCTGGGAAAATCTGATACGCACAGGACAGATTGAAGGCAAGTGGGAGGACGGATAAACTGAATTTGAGTAAATGGTTGGCAGAACAAGGTTTAGGGAAGATGACAAAAAGGAAATTGTGGAGAGCCATTATTGCCAACTTGTGCTGAAGGGACACAGCACATAGAAGATGATGAAGCCTTATATATACGTTCCAGCAAAGTGAGTTAATGCCAGCCAAATAACTTACACCGTCACAAAGTTTCCGTAAATTTCAAAATCATTTTTATTCTACCTACAGCATGTACGTTCAGTTACAGTAAAGCCTCGTTACTCCGGTACTGCCTGATCCGGTAAATCAATGGTCCGGTCCTTTTTTTTCATTAGACATCAGTAGTTCGTTTAGCGGCTTCGAGAACAGCGTCACGCATTGTGTTACAACTTTTCGTAGCAGCCGACAGCAGCAGAGTGTTTCGATGATACGGTCTTGCTCATTTCTTATATATAGCTGCATATTTACTGATCCAGTATAGTAAATATATATTATTTTTAATGTTAGGATATTCTGCCCTTTGTACTTACTGTATATGAAACAATAAAACCTTTATTTTCTGTGATCTGGCACTGGTCTCTTGGGTTGGTAATTAAAAAGGCAGGCTGTACTGAACTTTCGGTGTTACTATAAAGTTGAGAAAATCTGGAGAATGGTTCTTTAATTTTGGGGTTTAGAAAAATAGTTCCTTGCAACGCGACAACGTCCTAATGATATCACATATCCCCCAATGTATCTGTAACATTACAAGTATATTTTGCCTTAGCTGGGGTGAGGTGTTTAGGGACAATATTGGAATATTAATCTTCTTCCGAGGATATGACAGAATTTATCTTTTCCTTTTAAGGTATAACATATAACTTCCTGTAATTCGACTGTCTTGCTTGTGCATATCCTAAGCTAATACGGGTCGGCTTTTTATATGTTTCGGAGTAATCTCTGAAATGCTTTGAGTCTAGGTTCTTGCAATGATGAGGTCACCTTACAGGCCAACATTCTGGTGCACTGACAGTGATTACAATACCTACATAGAGTGAACCCATTGCATATTGGGTTTACCATTTATTATTAAATAATGAACTGATTCCCCGCTAAATTACACTGAGATGTCGCCTTTTGAGGGCGTCGATAAACCCGTATCAGCAGACACCTCAACTTTTGGAGGCACGGTGGAATAATGGATAGCGGCCCGGATTGAGGAATCGGAGAGCCGAGTTCGAATTCCAGTCAAATTTATTACACTCACTTACGGGCTAATAACCCTGGGAAAGTTATGACTCCTCTTTTTCTCAAGCTATGAGTAAATAGCAGGACAAGCCGGGTTCTATTGCCTTTGATGGCAACTGGCCTACCGCAGAAAGAAATGGTAACCTGCGAGAAATGCAGGAAAAAACTCTGCCTCTTCAGTCATGTATCGAAAGATCGCTTAAGCTTTTATCACGCAAGGCACATAACTGACTTGTTGATCATTACTATCGAGTAATGAGGGTGATCATCATTGGGTACGCTATGTAGATTCTACATTAAAAGGATTGACGTCGTAAAATCAAGCCATTTAATTATTTGATTTATTTTCAAAATTACAGGATGCAAAACATAGAAAATTCTCGAATAATATTTCGCCATTTTCTATCAATTGAATACGCTTATCTTATTCGACTCAATATTGAGACGTAGATAGTGACCGAACTTAAGCTGTCCGCCAATAACCAACCAGGTTATCGTTTTAATCCGTAAGCGACAGGAATTATCGATTACTATTTCCTTAAAGGTCTGCTGATATCAGCAATTGATGATTTACAATTTCCCCGGCGATACGGATATCAGTAATTTATAATTTGTGCGTAAAAGACTAATTGGCAACTTAGAATCGATGAAGTTACTAGTTAGTAAAATTGATGAGTTTAGTTCATTTACAGTATTTGCCTGAAAATACACCTGGAGGAACAAGCCAAACATGTATAATTCTCGAAGAGAAAAGAGGTAAAAAATGGTAACAGTATATTATCTTCTATGTGCTGTATCACATATACACAGGCGTTAATGGCTCTCCACATTTACCTGTCTTTCGTAGCTCTTAATAAATATTATTTTTCGTAAACTCTGTTCCTCCATTCATTTACTCAAGCTCACTAGGTATGATATTCATTGTTTTCCTCTGTCCCTTTAACCTTCAATCTGTCCTGTGAGTATAAGATTTTCCAAGCACCCTTTCCTCATTATGTGCTCTAGAAATTTCAGTAGTCTCTTCCTGATGTTAAATAAAAGTGTTCTTTTAGTTTCAATTTTTGTTGGGGCGCACCCACCTTCTAACTAGTAATGGACTGGTCCCTCTTATATAAGTCAGCTCTCGGGAGAGAGTTAACGTCAGAACTCCAGATACTTTCTGAGAGACTGATCGGTTCAACTCTCTGTCTCCGGACGGGAAGGAACCCGAAGGAGGCTACGCCGAAGGGCGAAGTCTCCTTCGGGGAGGTGGGGCTCGGCCCTGAACCCGTTTATACGGGTTCAAATGGCTATTTTTTGGCTGAGCCTAATGGCTCGGGAATGCCCACATTAAAAAAGGCCTTGTGCCGCATGACACCCTCGTGGGTGGGTGACTGAATATCTCAGAACTCCAGATACTTTCTGAGAGACTGATCGGTTCAACTCTCTGTCTCCGGACGGAGAGGAACCCGAAAGGAGGCTACGCCGAAGGGCGAAGTCTCCTTCGGGAGGTTAAACTCGGCCCTGAACCCGTTTATACGGGTTCAAATGGGCTATTTTTGGCTGAGCCTAATGGCTCGGGAATGCCCACATTAAAAAAAGGCCTTGTGCCGCATGACACCCTCGTGGGTGGGTGGCTGAATATCTCAGAACTCCAGATACTTTCTGAGAGACTGATCGGTTCAACTCTCTGTCTCCGGACGGAGAAGGAACCCGAAGGAGGCTACGCCGAAGGGCGAAGTCTCCTTCAGGGAGGTAAACTCGGCCCTGAACCCGTTTATACGGGTTCAAATGGGCTATTTTTTGGCTGAGCCTAATGGCTCGGGAATGCCCACATTAAAAAAGGCCTTGTGCCGCATGACACCCTCGTGGGTGGGTGGCTGATTATCTCAGAACTCCAGATACTTTCTGAGAGACTGATCGGTTCAACTCTCTGTCTCCGGACGGAAGGAACCCGAAGGAGGCTACGCCGAAGGGCGAAGTCTCCTTCGGGGAGGTAAACTCGGCCCTGAACCCGTTTATACGGGTTCAAATGGGCTATTTTTGGCTGAGCCCTAATGGCTCAGGAATGCCCACATTAAAAAAGGCCTTGTGCCGCATGACACCCTCGTGGGTGGGTGGCTGAATATCTCAGAACTCCAGATACTTTCTGAGAGACTGATCGGTTCAACTCTCTGTCTCCGGACGGAAGGAACCCGAAGGAGGCTACGCCGAAGGGCGAAGTCTCCTTCGGGGAGGTGCGCTCGGACCCTGAACCCGTTTATACGGGTTCAAATGGGCTATTTTTTGGCTGAGCCTAATGGCTCGGGAATGCCCACATTAAAAAAAGGCCTTGTGCCCGCATGACACCCTCGTGGGTGGGTGGCTGAATATCTCAGAACTCCAGATACTTTCTGAGCGACTGATCGGTTCAACTCTCTGTCTCCGGACGGAAGGAACCCGAAGGAGGCTACGCCGAAGGCGAAGTCTCCTTCGGGGGAGTAAAACTCGGCCCTGAACCCGTTTATACGGGTTCAAATGGGCTATTTTTGGCTGAGCCTAATGGCTCGGGAATGCCCACATTAAAAAAGGCCTTGTGCCGCATGACACCCTCGTGGGTGGGTGGCTGAATATCTCAGAACTCCAGATACTTTCTGAGAGACTGATCGGTTCAACTCTCTGTCTCCGGACGGAAGGAACCCGAAGGAGGCTACGCCGAAGGGCGAAGTCTCCTTCGGGGAGGTAAAAATCGGCCCTGAACCCGTTTATACGGGTTCAAATGGGCTATTTTTGGCTGAGCCTAATGGCTCGGGAATGCCCACATTAAAAAAGGCCTTGTGCCGCATGACACTCTCGTGGGTGGGTGGCTGAATATCTCAGCACTCCAGATACTTTCTGAGCGACTGATCGGTTCAACTCTCTGTCTCCGGACGGAGAGGAACCCGAAGGAGGCTACGCCGAAGGGCGAAGTCTCCTTCGGGGAGGTAAAACCGGCCCTGAACCCGTTTATACGTGTTCAAATGGGCTATTTTTTGGCTGAGCCTAATGGCTCGGGAATGCCCACATTAAAAAGGGCCTTGTGCCGCATGACAACCTCGTGGGTGGGTGGCTGAATATCTCAGCACTCCAGATACTTTCTGTGAGACTGATCAGTTCAACTCTCTGTCTCCGGACGGAAGGAACCCGAAAGGAGGCTACGCCGAAGGGCGAAGTCTCTCCTTCGGGAGGGCTCGGCCCTGAACCCGTTTATACGGGTTCAAATGGGCTATTTTTTGGCTGAGCCTAATGGCTCGGAAATGCCCACATTAAAAAGGCCTTGTGCCGCATGACACCCTCGTGGGTGGGTGGCTGAATATCTCAGCACTCCAGATACTTTCTGAGAGACTGATCGGTTCAACTCTCTGTCTCCGGACGGAGGAACCCGAAGGAGGCTACGCCGAAGGGCGAAGTTTCCTT